ATATAAACACACCTAATTATCAGAAATGATCACTATTAAACAAAGAAAAAATGGAAGAAAGTGGCTGTTTTGCTGTTTTATAACGGGAGTGGAGGGCTGGCGTCTCCGTGGAGACGAGCAGCTGAACATCCAGCTGTGTGGAACATCTGGGCAGAATTGTGAAACACTTTTCGCCCCCTGAACTCTTTGGTTTTGTGTTGCAGCGAAGAAAGCCTCCAAGTTCCGGGACTGGCTGGACTGCAGCAGCCTGGAGCTGAAACCCAACAGCGTCGCCATGGAGATCCTGTCCTACCTGGCCTACGAAACGGTCGCCCAGGTAACCACCCCCCAGCCTGGAAAGTTTCAGTGATGCCAAATCGTAGCTTTTTCTGCTCGTCGTTGCATATTTTACTGATTAAATAAATGATAGAAAACATATTTATTAAGTAGGAATAAGGTCTTAGCTCTGTTACACTGGTATCCAAGTAATCGACATTTCGTTGTCAAGATTCACCTTTTGTCTTTTGTACAATGACAATAAAGGAAGTCTAAGTCTAAGTTTAGGTCTAAGTCTAGCCTCTAATGCCTGTGGCTTATTTTGGATTGTTTGGCCCATTTCTGGCCGAGTTTATTGGACAGTTTTATGTTCTCCCTCTGCTCAGATTGTGGATTTGTCCCTGCTGATAAAGCAGGAAATGGCGGCTAAGACGGATCCGGTCAGTCATGTGATCTCTGCCAGCTACCTCCACTACAGCACACACACCGAGGTACACGCACACACACACACACACACACACATGTGTTTTCGTGAAATATAAGGATGTATAACGAAAATAGGACAAATGTTGACGTGCCTTTCCAGAGGTTTTACAGGTCTGAAAATCCCAGAGTTTCCTATCCATGCATTCAGGAAAACCTTCATCTATTGAGATTTTAGCTAGAGAAAACTTTTATTAACATTTTATTTTTATGTGACATATAGGGACATTATCTGGTTTATATAACTTATTAGGAAAAAACTAAAAAAACTAAACTAAACCAAAAGATTGTCATTAAAAAAAGGAAGGCATCAGGTACAACTTCTGAAACAGGCTTCAAACCCACTTAAAGCACAAACGTAAAAGTGTGGAGTAAAAATACACACACACACACACACACACACACACCCCTCCCCTTTGAGCAGGTTCCAGTCTGATAACGCTGCGTGTTTCTCTGATAGGTGAAGAAGGACCCGGACTCCCCTGAGGCCACGCCCCCCTCCACCCCGGGGGCGTCCCTCGCCTCTAAGCCCCCCCCGCAGGGCAACGGCAGCGTGGACGGCCGCGCCCGGCAACGCAAACGCAAAAAGGCGAGACACACTCACGGTTTGATCA